GAGACAGGGCTGCTGGGAAAAGGGTTGCTTCGTGCGCCTCGATTTGCAGCACTCCCTGGACATTGGAGCAAGCCAGGAACACCTCAGCAATGCGTGAGGCGCTGGTGTTCGTGGCCCTTCATTGTGCTGGCGCGGCGGTGCCAGAGTGGATCAGCCACGTGGCGGCCAAGTGCACTGCGCGTGACCACTGGGGCCAGATTAAGTTTGCCATCGACGCAGTGCACGAGATCGCTCGCCAAGGCGAGCGGATGTGTATTTCGAACGTGGAGTCTGACCGCCTGCCTCATATACATATATATATACAGATGTATACAGCTATGTATGTGTAAACATGTCCACATACATATTTGTATCTGCGAACGCTTGTACCCAGCTGTGGATGGAGACCTATTTACACCTATATACGCAGTTAAGCACATATATATGTATGTATGTATGTACATATATTAATATGTATGTATATACACATATGTATACATGTATATACATATATATATACGTGAATATATATATATATATATATGTGAACGTGTGTATGTATATAGATGTAGATGTGCATGTATGTGTGTAATTATATGTGCCTGCGTGTGTATATGTATACGTATGTATGCATGCACGCATGCAGGCATGTATGTAAGCACGTTTGTACGGATGCATCTCTATATTTAACGATATGTACCAATGTATACGGGTGAGCGGGGGGCCCTGGGGTCGGCGGAGGAGGGGGGGGCTCAGACAGAAAGAGGCGTGGGGGGGTCAATGGGGGGCGGCCGAAGGGCGGGGAGGGATTTTGCACGGTTACGTGGGGCCACTGCCCAGGTGATTTTCGCAGGGACCTCAACTTCGCGCATGTCTTCTCAGGCGCCGACGGCCCAGGCGCTGCGGCACGCTCTCGAGGCATCCCGTCTGAGAGCTTTGACATTCGGCGGCATCCCTCGGAAGATCTGTCAACCGTGGCAGGAATGATACACTGCGGCGCTCTCGTGTTTCGCATTCGCCCTCGGGGTTTTTGCCATTTTGGCCCGTGCTGCGCCTCGTTTTCCTGGATGTCCACAGGGGTACCCCAAAGGCATCTCGACATAGAACGTGGCTTCGCCATGGCAAACCCGACCCGGCGGGAGTGACCCGCGGGGGGGGGGGCAGGGGGAGGGGGGAAGCTGCGCGGGGACAGGGCGGGGGAGGGCGAGGAGGTTGGGCGGGGACAGGGCGGGGGAGGGCGACCGAGTCGTGGGATGTTTTCTTTTTTTTGATATGATTCATCACTCACGGCCTGGTGCTCAGATCTGCTGGGGGCATTTGGCTCGTTGGTGACACGTCTCAACCTTTGGCTTCACTCGGCAACTTGATGGTGCTCTACATATGTTGGGTTGCGTCCGCCCTTCTGGCCAGGGATGTGTTCTGGAGTTTGGAGCAGCCCATTCAATCTTGCATGAAGCGGTACCCAGCCTTCCAAACGATGTGCAGCTTGTGCCGCCCCGCGGCGTTTTGCACGTGGATGGGGTCGTTTGAAGGCGGCGGCGATCTGATGAAATGCTGTCATATCTTCACCACGGCCCCACTTAAAGTTGCCTGCTCTTTTTTGAAGAGGGGGAAGCCGAAGCGCAAACCCGACCCAAAGAAACGAATTTGGTCGAAACCTACTGTGTGGGTGAATGGCCACCATGCCAAACTCCGTTCATCAGGGGCTCACCCGAAAGAGTTCGGAGAGCGCATGGTCGACCTCGCATGTCAGTTGCTGGGCGCTCACTGATAAGATGCGCCTCGAATGTGGTGGGGGGAGGGGCAACGGGGGAGGGGAAGGGGAGGGGCAGGAGGGGAGGGGGGGCGAAACGCGGCAGGGGGCGGCGGCGGCGGCGCCCGAGGGACGTCGTGGAACGACCTGCCCCGCCGACTTTGCTTCTCGACAGGGGAGGGGGAGTCGGAGGAGGAGGAAGAGAAACAAAGGGATGCGCATGGACGGCTTCAGGGTTGTGCGAAAACCACGATGGTGAGGAAGATGATGGAGATGACAACGCCCGCGATGACGAGGAGACAACTGGGAAGGAGACGGCATGAGGCGCTGGGATAGGCCAGGGAGAACGCGAGGATGACGAGGGATACGGAGCGGGAGGTGGACGGCGGAGGTGGCCAATCGGGGGGGCGAGGGGCGGCGGGCGAGGAGGCGGGGGAGGGGTAAGGGCAGTGGGAACGACAAGGGGAGGAGGAGGAGGAGGAGGAGGAGGAGGAGGAGGAGGAGGAGGAAACGGAGAGAAGCGAGACCCGCCGCCGTCGCTGCCCCCTTCCCCGCGGGACCGCACGGCTCGAAGTCTCCGATGCCGTCGCAGGTCAGCTTGGCCATGTTGTGGTCGGCGGACGCAGGGCCGACCAACCAGCAGAGAAAAAAAAAAAACTTAAACAACGACAGCACACGCGACGGACCCAGCGACGAGCGTCGACATCCGACGAACCGAGCGAGCGTACGGCGCAGTCAACACTCAACACCCGACCAATCAAACAAACGACCGAATCATGCAACACTCAGCTCACCCTACCGATCAGCCCGACAATGACCCGTCAATGCAACCGACGGCAACCGACAGAACACATATGCAAACGGACACGCGTGCAAGCAACCACCCAACCCACCACCAGCAACCACGCCATCGCAACAAGTACGCAATCCAACAACGATACCCAGCAACACACACATAACCATGTAAGCTACATCGCGCAAGTGCGCTGCAACATGTGTATATATACATATATATATATACGCACACACGTAATTTTATGTTTGCACATGCACGCATTGTTAATCATACTAATACTAATACTAATAATATCATTACTAATCCTAGCACGCATGATCATAATGATAACAACACTCAACATAATATACATGATGTCCACACGACCACCCATACACACGCATATTTATATATACATATATATATGCAACATATACATGCATACATGTATGTATACCACCCCGCAGTTGCGGATAAGAGGTTGGCAGCTTGCCAGTGTCTGAAGGATCCCGCCGCACGCGCTAAATACTCTCCGCCGCAAGCGCCGATTTTGGTTTGCAGGCAATGTAGGTGGGTTGCGGGTGGGTCGCGGGTGGGTCGCGGGCCAGGTAGCGGCTGCGTCGCGGTGAGTGGGTCGCGGGCGGGGTCGCGAGGTTGGTCGCGGGCAGGTTGCGGGTGGGTCGCGGGTCGGTTGCGGGCGGGTCGCGGGTGGGTCGCGGGGTCGCGGACGGGTCGCGGGCGGGGTCGCAGGGTGGACGACGACAGCAACAATAATGAGCGTTCGGCCCCGATTTTCGGCCCCGATATATCAATCATTGTGGCCGCGGCTATCGAATATCGGATCCATTCGTATGTAGATGTGTAGAAATATGCATATCCATATATGCCATATATGTATATATGCACACACATATATATTATATATGTATGTATATGTACATACATATGTGCATATATATGTATATACACACATATAGGCGTGTTGTCTCCACTGCCTATATAAGCCTTCACTTCTTATATAAGCATTCACTGCTTAGAATTTAGGCCGGATAATCTTCACTGCCTAATCTAACCGGTGGCGACCCCCTGGGCAGCACAGGCACCAGCACCGGCACCGGCACCGGCACCGGCACCGGCGCCGGCACCGGCACCGGCACCGGCACCAGCACTGGCACCGGCACCGGCACCGGCACCGGGGCAAGAATCGTTCATGCTTTGCTCGCTGACCCCGGTAGTTGCCGCGCCCGTTTGGCCCTCGCGCTTGAGCCTTGTGCACGTTTCGCTTGTGCGTGCTCGTGCCCACTTTGTCGCTTTGGCGTTGCCGTGTTCATGTCTCCTCAACCTTCTGAGTCGGTTGTGTGCCGCCGTGGTAGCCCTGGTGTCGTTGGCATGCGCATGTCCCCCCTGCCTCCACGTTGTATAGGTTTTTGCCCTCCTGGTCTCTGCTTCGCCGATGTCCTCCTGGCGCCCGCGCGCCCCGTCCCCCCCTTCCTCTGCCTTTCCCCCCCCCCCCGCGGACCGCAGCGTCGTGCCCGGCGCCGCCTCTCGGCTGCCCCCGGCTGCCGCCTCCGCGGTCGCCCCCCCCCTCCCCGGCCTGGGCGCCCTAGCGGCCCCGGCGGCTTCCCGCCGCCCCCGCAGCACCGGCGCTGCGCGGCCCTGCCCGGTGCCAGTTTGCTGCCTCGCGTGGGGCAATGCTCTCTCGGCAACGTTCATTTCGCATCGTGCCCACCTCCTTTGGGCGGTGCGCGACGCTGCCACGACCGCGGCTCAGACTCTAGCCGTCCGTCCTTTGGCTGGCTCCAGCCAGGCTCTGACCCCAGTCGCCCTCCCGCACGATTCATGGGATTGTATCGGTTCGTTGTTCTTTGTCTGTTCGGCCCCGCGACACGTGCGGCCGTCATTCTGGAGCTTTGTGCTGCCTTCGCATGCTTTACGTGCGCAGTCGCCCCCGAGTTGCGACACCCGCTGTTCCATGAACTTTGCCGCACCTTGGCTCGCAGGTTTGTGTGGCCGTTCCTCTTTTACTGCCTTTGCAAGCCCGCGTTTCTTCACGCACGTGCACGATCTTCACGGTCACAGAGTTCTCCGCCACCCGCGGTTTCCTTCCCCATTCGCGCTCTTCCTGCCCCCTTGCGCCGAATTTTGCTCGAAGCGTCCTCCGCCTGCCCCGACCGCGTCTTAGATCCATGCCGCCGTTGACAAAATAGAATCTGGATTTTGAATTCACCACTTCACCGCGCAGTCTGTCACCGCACCGTTAGAGGCCCCCGCAAGCCTCTCCCCCTCCACTTTTTCTCCTTCTCTTCACTGTGGGGACAGATGCCCCGTCCTTGACCCCTGCGCGGAAGCAGGGGTCTGACCAGGCGAGGGCGAGACGACGTGAGGGCAGGTGAGGGGCCGCGACCTCATCAATGAATTGATGCCATCAGTCGTTGGATGTTCTGTTCCCCCTTTTCCTCCTTCACTCCTTTCCCTCTGCACCACCCGCTCCAGGATCGATATCCGCAAGAAAGACCCCGACACCTGCCAGGTGGTCATCAACGGCGACGCCGCCTCTATCGAGAGGGCGTCGGTCGCGGTCAAGGCCGTTGCCGACGGGATTGCGGGACACGTGTCGCCGTCGTTTCAGCACGTCTCGCTACCGTTTACCCTCACAAGGAACCAGCTGGGCCTCACTATTGGCAGGCAGGGTGCGCGGATTCAGAGCATCAAGGCCGTGTGTGCAGTGAGGATCGATTGCGACCATGGAACTTGCGAGGTCAGAATCCGGCAGGCTTGCGCCACGCCGCCAATACCAGACAATTTCTCAGCATCGGCCTTGGGTCTATCCAGCCCACTTCGTAGATGAACGGACATGCGCCGGGCCACTCGCCCACCACTCTGAGCCGTCATCGTTCGGTTGCATTGGCGGGGTGGGTCGTTTCGGGTACGCTTGAGGTGAGCAAGGGGCACCTTTGGGGCTCTTTTCAGTGGTGCCAGGCTGATGAGCACTACGCTGCCGTCGCGCCGTGGGAGTTTTGCCAGGGACCCCCTCGGGGATGGGAGCGGGTGTTCATGTCAGTACGGGGCGGTGGAGGAGGAGGAGGAGGAGGAGGAGGAGGTGGTGGAGGCAGAAGGTGCATGAATAGTTGGTGCGTTCGTCGGGTTCAGAGACGGGAGCGTGGCCTGCGAGTTGACGCGGAAGGTTGCCGTCGAACTCGCGGCGGACGGGTGTCCCGCAAAAAATTGGAAATGTCTCACGCAATGGTGAGTTATGCCCTCTAAGAGAATATGAGCCCAGCGAACGCATACATTCCCCATCCCCATGGAGGTTGAGGAATGCATTGTGCCACGTAAGTTGAGTCTCACCGCATCGGTGTGGAGGAGCGGAGCTCGCGTTTCCCTCTAACGATTTCGGCCCAACTGAGTTTTGCTCTTGCTGCTACGTACAATGCCAGTCCTCCCTCCTTCCTCTCCTGGCGCGACTGCGCATTACTCCTTTTTCTCACCACCCCTCATCCCCCCTCCCTTTTCCCTTTCCACCCCCCTCCTCTCTCCTCCTCCCTTCTCCCTCCTCTCACCTCTTTCTTTTTCCCTCCTCTCCCTTTCCCACTCCTCATTCGTTATTCTACCTTATTCCTCCTCTTTTTCATCGTCTTCGTCATCCCTTCTCTCCTCTCACCCTTCCCCTTCCGCCACAACTGCTTTTTACTGGAGTGAAACCTTCCCCAATAACTATGTCCTGGATGTATCTCGCCCTCTCTATGTAATTGTGTTCCTAAGCAGGCTTTGTGTAAGGGTCCTTCTCTTCCTTCTAAGAAGCGGGTACGGGTGTCCCGTGATCTGGAATAGTGGGGGCGCCAGTGACTCACGTTGTCGGAGGTGAGGGGGTGAGATCGAAGTGGAACGGAGAGCCCCCCTACCGGGAAATCGATTTCGGTTTCGTGTTCTTGCGTGCCGTGCGGGCGAGGCGAAGTTGCGTGGGCGGGCGAGAGAAAGTCTCCTGTGGCTGAGGCGCGGCCGGACCAAATGTCTCCCTTCTGGGCGGCCGGGGGCCCGCGGTGTCCCGCCAGTGTCCCGCTGGTGTCCCGTGTGGCTGAGGCGCGGCCGGACCAAATGTCTCCCTTCCGGGCGGCCGGGGGCCCGCGGTGTCCCGCCTGTGTCCCGCTGGTGTCCCGTCGCGAGATCGATAGTGAGGTCAATTGTGAGATCGATAGTGAGATCGATAGTGCGATCGATTGTGAGATCCATAGTGATATCGATAGTGAGATCGATAGTGATATCGATAGTGAGATCGATAGTGAGGCCGAATGTGAGATCGATTGCGAGATCGATAGTGAGATCGATTGTGAGATCGATAGTGACACCGAATGTGAGATACATTGCAAGATCATTAGTGAGATCGATAGTGAGACCAAATGTGAGATCCATTGCGAGATCATTAGTGAGATCGATACTGATGTCGATTGTGAGATCGATATTGAGACCGAGTGTGAGATCGATTGTGAGATCGATAGTGAGACCGAATGTGAGATCGATTGTGAGATCGATTGTGATATCGATAGTGAGATCGATTGTAAGACCGAATGTGGGCTTGTGATATCGATAGTGAGACCGAATGTGAGATCCATTGCGAGATCATTAGTGAGATCGATTGTGAGATCGATAGTGAGATCGGTTGTGATTTCCATTGCGAGATCATTAGTGATGTCGATTGTGATATCGATAGTGAGATCGATTGTGAGATCGGTACTGAGACCGAATATGCGATCGATTGTGATATCGATAGTGAGATTGATAGTAATACCGAATGTGAGACCGAGTGTGAGGTCGATAGTGAGACCGATCGAGTGAGACGTTGGTTCCTCCCCCCCCCCCCGAACCTCCTTAGCACCCGAAGGGTGGTCGTATAGGTATTATGTTGTCTCTTGTTGTCTCCCGTTTTCTACCGTTGTCTCTCGTTGTCTTCCGCAGTGTCCCGTTGCCCCCCGTTGTTCCCCATAGTCTCTCATGGTCTCCAGTTGTCTCTGGTTTGTCTCCCGTTGTCTCCTGTCGTCTCCCGTGGTCTCCCAATCCCTGACCTGACTTGTAGCCCGTTATCCTTATTCCTATTCCAATGTTTGTCCTCATCTTATATCCTGATCTTGGTTTTTCCCAACCATCCTGTGGTGTTGGGTCCTCGTTTTGAAGAGACAGCGCCCCGCGTTCACTCCTCCTCCCGCTGCCCCCTCCCTCCTGCCATCATCATCATCATCACCATCATCAGCATCATCATCATCATCATCATCATCAACCCCTCACACGTTTCGTGGCCCCATAGGGAGCTCCAGCGAAGGCCCCAGTGGCTGCGCTCCCATGCGCCCACCGCACCGATTTCTGCACACCCCTCACACGTTTCGTGGCCCCATAGGGAGCTCCAGCGAAGGCCCCAGTGGCTGCGCTCCCATGCGCCCACCGCACCATTTCGGCACACCCCTCACACGTTTCGTGGCCCCATAGGGAGCTCCAGCGAAGGCCCCAGTGGCTGCGCTCCCATGCGCCCACCGCACCCGGCACACCCTCACACGTTTCGTGGCCCCATAGGGAGCTCCAGCGAAGGCCCCAGTGGCTGCGCTCCCATGCGCCCACCGCACCCATTTCGGCACACCCCTCACACGTTTCGTGGCCCCATAGGGAGCTCCAGCGAAGGCCCCAGTGGCTGCGCTCCCATGCGCCCACCGCACCCATTTCGGCACACCCATCACACGTTTCGTGGTCCCATGGGGAGCTCCAGCGAAGGCCCCAGTGGCTGCGCTCCCATGCGCCCACCGCACCCATTTCGGCACACCCCTCACACGTTTCGTGGCCCCATAGGGAGGCCCCAAGGGAGTGGCTCCCAATGCCCTCACAGTGGCACCCAGTGGCTGCGCTCCCACACCGCACACCCCGTCACACGTTTCGTGGCCCCATAGGGAGCTCCAGCGAAGGCCCCAGTGGCTGCGCTCCCATGCGCCCACCGCACCCATTTCGGCACACCCCTCACACGTTTCGTGGCCCCATAGGGAGCTCCAGCGAAGGCCCCAGTGGCTGCGCTCCCATGCGCCCACCGCGCAGATTTCGGCACACCCCTCACACGTTTCGTGGCCCCATGGGGAGCTCCAGCGAAGGCCCCAGTGGCTGCGCCCCCATGCGCCCACCGCGCCCATTTCGGCACACCCCTCACACGCTTCGTGGCCCCATAGGGAGCTCCAGCGAAGGCCCCAGTGGCTGCGCCCCCATGCGCCCACCGCGCAGATTTCGGCACACCCCTCGCACGTTTCGTGGCCCCATAGGGAGCGCCATCGAAGAAGATATTCACAATTGCGGCACTCGCAACTGCATCTGGTTGGGTCCTTCGCCAGGATAATTTGCCCCTTTAATATATCTAACCCGATATCCTTAACCCTGCACCGCTGTACCTACATATGCCACCCCCTCATTCGACCGGCGTCAAACCTGGGCCACTGCCAACGCGCCACTCCCACCATCCCTTCCAGAAAACAATTCAAAGTGCACTTTGTACCAACATCTTGATCATGTGTGGACGCCCCGCGACCACGTTACAGTGGGTTTTCGAGGCAAGCAAACTGCCTGTTGTGTGCAGGCCCGCTATCCTTTTCCATAAACGCAGAGTGTACTTTGCCAGGGAGGGGGGGGGGCAACGCACCGCTTGCTGTGTGCACGCCCACCATCCCGGTCAAAAACAAGTGCAATGTGATTGGGTTGTTAACCTTGGGTTCGGGAAGGCTGGGGTCAGGGAGCCATAATCATGTGAGGAAGGGGAAGCCCGCGCTTGTTCGCCATGGAAGCGCTCGCAGCATGTGCGCTTGGACGTGCGAGCGTGGGAGCGATAGCGACAGCTTTGCTGTATGGTTTGTTTTGATTGCGTGCCAGTTTCCCTGGTCTCTGACGCTGCTTGGGTGCAAGGCGCGTCACCTCTCGCCGCCAACTCGAGGCTGGTGTATATGATGAGCCGTGGACGGCAGCACCAACCACAGCATTTTGTTTCTGCCGGTACTTCGCCACCGGGTTCCTGGACATGGCGCGCCTTTGCAAGCACGTCGACTTCGGCACCGCCTGATCCCGAGGTTTTGCCTCCTCCCGGCCTCGCCCTGAGGCTGCGCTCTCCCCCCTTCCTCCCCCTCATTGTTAGTTCAAGCTTCGCGCGGCCCGCTTAGCTTCGACCGGGAGAGGTGCGCTCTCGACCCGCGACTCAAACACATTGTTTTGATTGCGTGTGCTCCGCTGGATTGCCGGGCGGCGTTGAAGTTTTTCATCGAGGAGCTCTTGGATTGGAAGGCCGACCCCAGTGAGTGCGATTCTGCGACTGTTGCAGGAGAAAGACCAGATTCGGCCGCCGACTTAGGGCATTTTTTCTGTTCGGCGGATTAGGCGGCGCAGTGCCGAGTGCCCACGGCTTGGGGCGTGGCTCAGGACGTGGCGCGCGTGGCTCTGCGGCTGGCCCATATGCGCGATGGTGGCGCGGCGTGCGGTTCACTTGGCGCTGTCTGCGGGCGGGTGCGGCGAGGCTTCCGTGACGCGCGCGCGTGCCACGACGGGAGCAGGGCGCGTTCCCCCGGCCGCGCGCGGGGCTGTGAAGACGCGGCGGCCGGAACGTTGTGCCGCGGCGGCGACGGAGGCTGCCGATCGGCAGGGGCGCGTCCAATTGGTTTTCGAGGTCGTTCGGTTGCCGTTGGAGTGGCGCCTGGAGAGCGGCCTCGGGGTGTGCCGGCGCAGCAGGCCGTGATGTTCGCGGACGCT